CTAAATTCGATCTAAAGTCCTAGTGTAGACCAGGGCTTAGCAAGTTCCACTCTTCTTTCTCCCCCACCCCAGCAAACATTGAAGGAGATGAATGTTACAGCCCTGCAGCTAAATGTGCAACTCCGCTTCTGCAGAGGCGAGCAATACTCACTCTGAGAGGCTGGGCCATAGGGCTTTGCACAGCCCTTATCTCTGCTATTCCCAGTCATATCCTAAGGGCAACAGGGCCGGGAGCAGAAACCACAACTCTGCTTTGAGGAGCTGGAATTAGGCACTTAACATTAATGTTAACAGCCATTAATTAGTCAGTGCCAGTGATTCTGGCATCCAGCCCATCCTCAGTAAGTTATCGCCTCATTCTTTCGTCCAGGAGGCAGTTTGGCCTTGTCAGACAAATACTATGAGAGAAGGTTTCAGGGAGAAGTCAAGTGAAGATTCTGGCTTGAGCCCCAGTAATGTGAGTCAATCCTTGTGTGGTTGCCCTTCGCCAGCCAGCCACAACCCTGAGTCTTGCTTTCTCTCCCTACCTCATTTCATCCATCACTGAATGAACATTGAACAGTCCTTAGATTCCCATTGGGCAAGAGAAGCATCTGATAGCCCAGACACTTTTTAGTCTGATCCAAGTGCCTTTGAATCCGGGCAGAGTTCCTCTGGGCGGCATCCGCTGGCTCCCTTGATGCCTTCAGGGCACAGTGGGCACTGTCCGGGGTTCTCTGCTCGATGTCCCTGTCAGGTTCCCTTAGTTTGACCCTTTTGATCTCACTCCTCTCCCTGTTTCATTAGTTGTCCCCTGGAACTATTTGGTTTCCAGGACCTGTGGACACTCCCCTTGGGCTGAGGGGAGGCCCTTTAGCAGTGGGTGGGCTTCCGCCCGCCCACTTCCTGGATCCCAATTGGATCCCAATAGGTGACCAGCTTGGCTTAATGGTGAAATCTTAGCGGATCTTAAACATTAAAAAAGAAGCTTACAAGAAGTGGAAGGTTGGACATATGACCAGGGAAGAGTATAAAAATATTGCTCGGGCATGTAGGAATGTTATCAGGAGGGCCAAATCGCACCTGGAGCTGCAGCTAGCCAGAGATGTCAAGAGTAACAAGAAGGGTTTCTTCAGGTATGTTGGCAACAAGAAGAAAGCCAAGGAATGTGTGGGCCCCTTACTGAATGAGGGAGGCAAACTAGTGACAGAGGATGTGGAAAAAGCTAATGTACTCAATGCTTTTTTTGCCTCTGTTTTCACGAACAAGGTCAGCTCCCAGACTGCTACGCTGGGCATCACAAAATGGGGAAGAGATGGCCAGCCCTCTGTGGAGATAGAGGTGGTTAGGGACTATTTAGAAAAGCTGGACGTGCACAAGTCCATGGGGCTGGACGAGTTGCATCCGAGAGTGCTGAAGGAATTGGCGGCTGTGATTGCAGAGCCATTGGCCATTATCTTTGAAAACTCGTGGCGAACCGGGGAAGTCCCGGATGACTGGAAAAAGGCTAATGTAGTGCCAATCTTTAAAAAAGGGAAGAAGGACGATCCTGGGAACTACAGGCCAGTCAGCCTCACTTCAGTCCCTGGAAAAATCATGGAGCAGGTCCTCAAAGAATCAATCCTGAAGCACTTGCATGAGAGGAAAGTGATCAGGAACAGCCAGCATGGATTCACCAAGGGAAGGTCATGCCTGACTAATCTAATCGCCTTTTATGATGAGATTACTGGTTCTGTGGATGAAGGGAAAGCAGTGGATGTATTGTTTCTTGACTTTAGCAAAGCTTTTGACACGGTCTCCCACAGTATTCTTGTCAGCAAGTTAAGGAAGTATGGGCTGGATGAATGCACTATAAGGTAGGTAGAAAGCTGGCTAGATCGTCGGGCTCAACGGGTAGTGATCAATGGCTCCATATCTAGTTGGCAGCCGGTATCAAGTGGAGTACCCCAAGGGTCGGTCCTGGGGCCGGTTTTGTTCAATATCTTCATAAATGATCTGGAGGATGGTGTGGATTGCACTCTCAGCAAATTTGCGGATGATACTAAACTGGGAGGAGTGGTAGATACGCTGGAGGGGAGGGATAGGATACAGAAAGACCTAGACAAATTGGAGGATTGGGCCAAAAGAAATCTGATGAGGTTCAATAAGGATAAGTGCAGGGTCCTGCACTTAGGACGGAAGAACCCAATGCACAGCTACAGACTAGGGACCGAATGGTTAGGCAGCAGTTCTGCAGAAAAGGACCTAGGGGTGACAGTGGACAAGAAGCTGGATATGAGTCAGCAGTGTGCCCTTGTTGCCAAGAAGGCCAATGGCATTTTGGGATGTATAAGTAGGGGCATAGCGAGCAGATCGAGGACGTGATCGTTCCCCTCTATTCGACATTGGTGAGGCCTCATCTGGAGTACTGTGTCCAGTTTTGGGCCCCACACTTCAAGAAGGATGTGGAAAAATTGGAGAGAGTCCAGCGAAGGGCAACAAAAATGATTAGGGGACTGGAACACATGAGTTATGAGGAGAGGCTGAGGGAGCTGGGATTGTTTAGCCTGCAGAAGAGAAGAATGAGGGGGGATTTGATAGCTGCTTTCAACTACCTGAAAGGGGGTTCCAAAGAGGATGGCTCTAGACTGTTCTCAATGGTAGCAGATGACAGAACGAGGAGTAATGGTCTCAAGTTGCAGTGGGGGAGGTTTAGATTGGATATTAGGAAAAACTTTTTCACTAAGAGGGTGGTGAAACACTGGAATGCGTTACCTAGGGAGGTGGTAGAATCTCCTTCCTTAGAGGTTTTTAAGGTCAGGCTTGACAAAGCCCTGGCTGGGATGATTTAACTGGGAATTGGTCCTGCTTTGAGCAGGGGGTTGGACTAGATGACCTTCTGGGGTCCCTTCCAACCCTGATATTCTATGATCAGAAAAGAGGACTAGAATAGCATGACAACAGGCCTTCCAATGGCATCTCAGGTGCTTCCTGATTCCAGCCAACTTGGAAATCCATGGGAGCAAACTATTCCTTGTGCTTCAATGTCCAGCCAGGAAGTAGAGGTAGCAGAAAGTGTGCGTGTAGGGGAATAATAGAAGTGTATGCCAAGCTTTCTGGAGCCTTGGTACTGATTTTGGGGGACTAGTTTGGGGTCAGACTTGGGGGTTCAGGTTCAGCTGAAGTTTTGGGCACAGATTTAGTTCAGATTTTGTGTGGGAAAATTTGCATCCGATATGGGGACAAAATTTGAATTAACTATTCCAAACTGCTTCCCTAGTCTCTAGCTTTAACCTACTTGGCTTGTGCTCCAGTGTGGAAAAGGGGCCACATCCTAATTCCCATAGCCATCTCCTCACTAGCTAAATCTCTCTCTAAGTTCTGACAGCTGCCATTGGCTGTACTGCAGCTATTCCCAAGGATGATGGAAGGGAGCTGGGCTCAAGTCAACAACTCAAAAACCTTGGATTGTACTTTCCTTGCAAAAGAAGTGTTTGGAAAGTAAACAGCAGAACTGTTTAGATGGAAAGAATTCTAAGAGTCTGGTCAGAGCCATTTCAGTAATTCATTTGAGTACAGGAGTCGGCCATGACATTTGTCCAAAGATCCTGTGGGTTTGTGTCATGGAAATAGTTGGCAATCTTAGGGAATTCTGAGACCAGAGCAACAGTGTCAGCTCTTGGTCTGACACCAGCATAGGCCCTGCTAGAGAACACTGTTCAGCTGATGGCTTTTCTTCACTACACCCTTAACTCTGGCTCAACCGTGGGTTTTCCCCTTAACATGCTCTGCATTCACACATCTGTATGCCAGCAGTGCTATATGGCAAGGTAACCACCACTTGCTGAGCTCTAGGGCAGACCCTCAGGTAGCTGTTAGTGCGTACTGCTCCCCTGAAGTGACACTGACAATTGCAACAATCAAGACATGATGTTCAGTCCCTTCCCGTAAGTCCACTTCCAGTCCAGGAGCGATCAATCTACCTTTGCTCAGCTTCCTACTTGCAGGTCAGTTTCTCTAGGTTCAAACACTGGAGATGTGTAATACAGCTTAATGGCCACTAACAAACCCATGCATCCGTGTACAGTCAAATGGCCGTATGAAGGTACCTGAATCTCGGTGCAGCTTTGGGCTGAACCAAGCAAAACCCTTTAACTCAATGATTCTCAAACTTTTTGTACTGGTGACCCCTTTCACATAGCAAGCCTCTGAGTGAGACACCCCACCCCCTCTCCCCGCTTTATAAATTAAAAACACTTCAACACCATTGTAAATGCTGGAGGCAAAGCTGGTTTTGGGGTGGAGGCTGACAGTGTGCGACCCCTGCCCCCATGTAATTACCTCACAACCCCCTGAGGGGTCCCAACCCCCAGTTTGAGAGCCCCTGCTTTAACTCTCTAAAGCATAGAGCCTCACAGTGAGCTGTGGCGCTGTATACTGCTTGTCATGGCCAGATCCAGCACAGTTGTAGGGTGTGACAACCTGTGATAGCCTGATCATGTTACTGTGTTAACTTACCCTGTGAATGCTTACTCTGTGCTTAGCATGCAGTGTAAACAATTGACGCGCTTTCTCCACACCTGACACCAGAATAGCTTCCCTCAGCTAACACATTTCATCTGGGATATTCTGAACAGCCCTGTCCCCTTTTGACACTAGAGTTATGTCTCCACAACAGGTCCCAACATGGCTAGACAGACACTAACTTTGCTGAAGCTAATGCACTAAAAAGAGCAGTGTGGTTGACAGCTTGGGCTAGCTGCCAGAGTCCAAACCCACCTGACTGCCTGGGTACATACTTGGGTGGCTAGCCTGAGCTGCCACCCATGCCTGCAGAGCCATGCTGCTGTTTTTAGCATGCTAGCTTGAGCACAGCTAGCATGTCTATCTACCCGCTTGGAACCATATCTTCCAGTTGCAGTGTAGACATACGCTAGCTCGGATTCCACATGCATGGAACAGCTATGGAAAAATCTGGACTGAGCAAGGGACTTGCCAGATTAGAGTCCCATGCCTGCTCAGAAACAAATGTTTGTTTCTAGACCAAGCCAAGATGGAATGAAAGAAAGTAAGACCGGGACTATCTGATCTGAGAAGGTGCCAAGCAATCTTCAGTTGGAGCAGCCATTGCCGTGTGTGAGTCTCTCTCTCTGTCTCTCTCTCTCTCTCCCAGTCCTGAGTTTTGGGAGGGCAGGGGGTTTTGTCTCTAGTGCTTTATGGAACTGTGCTCCTGTGGGACTCAGTTCAACCAAGGGAAGAGAAGATTGGTGGACAGTGGCCCTCTACATTAGTTGCTCCCAAGGATGGGCTCCATTAGGAACCGCTGCAGAAGCAGGAAGGGAAGGTGAATGGCTGTCAAGGAGCTACTTGCTATTTGCCCCATAACCCATGCTGCAAGTAAATAAACAGGGCCCCACCGCTTTTTTCACCCCCAACTGTTCCCCTAGAGTAATTTAGTGTCCTCTGTGTTAGGAAATACTGTGAGAAGATGCTAAGCTTCTGGCTTCAGTCTGCCTCAGACATCCCTTTATACCAGGATGGACGAAGTGAGGCTCACAGGCCAAATGCACCCTGTAGTTTTTTCCATGAAATTCATGGCTGTCCTCTTTAATATAGAGGAACAGCTGGAAGACACCACCCATCCCAGCACGCAATGCTACACCGACCCAGATGGAGCACTGCATCCTGGGTTCTCTAGCCCCCATAGCCTGAACCTTGCATGTCTGTTAAAGATGAGGGTGGCTGAAATCTGCTCTCTTTGATACAAGTTAAGTGAAGTCCTAGAGTCTCTGTCATATTGCCAGAGCTGTCTGTCACATCTCCCCATGGACACTTAAAGCTCAGGCACCCCTGCCTTCTGCATTACCATCCTCTTTACACATTCTCTCACTGGGATCCCCTCAGAAATCACAGAAAGATAGTCCTTCATTTATGCCATCAGACCACATGGTGAGATCTCAGAGGAGACTGATATACCCAGGACCTTGCTAATGTGGTCTCTTCATGATCAGTCCAGAGGGGTCAGATGAGTGAAGCTGCAGGCAACTTCTCTTTAAGAGCACTTAGTACCAGCTAGCCCAACAGAAGGTTTTAGATTGGCTGGGCTCCCCCTCCTTCTATCTTCTGGAGAGAAGACAGACTCCCAGCTGATAACAAAGCTCTTCCACCCACTATAATTAGGAAGATAAAAGCACACTGAGCAGAGGTTTAATTGGAGCAGCCATGAAGAGAATAGGAGGACTTGTGGCACCTTAGAGACTAACCAATTTATTTGAGCATAAGCTTTCGTGAGCTACTGCTCACTTCATCAGATGCATACTGTGGAAAAACAGTAAAAGAACATGAAAAGAATGTTTATGCTGGAGGTTTCTTCTGTGGTTTTTGAGCCTATGGTTTTGTGGCTTCTGAGGAAACTCAAAATGTAGAATTTATTCTCTGTGGACAGAATTTCCTTGGGTCTTTGATGCAGTTAGAGAGGAAGGGAACTCTGTGGATGCAGTTGCTACTGCTCTCTTGTCTGGAACTCCTTAATGGATGGTTCCCTGGAGGTTACCATTCTGAAATGGTGATGGGTCTCTGTTCCTGTGGGGACATGTGTCCACAATTTAAAAACCGGGGGTGAGATGTGCCCAAAATGCTCACGGAGACTTAATATTTGACAGTCGGCTGGACTATAATGGGACGGGATCACTGACCTCTCACTCTGAGCCCCTTCCACCTCTACTTTAATTTCTAGAACCCCTTTGCCAGAGAATGCTGTGGCTGTTTTCCTCAGACTTCTGTAAATCATGGAGATGAGCTATGGTGGCAAAAATAAAGCAGCAATTTAAGGACTATGCTCTTCTGATGTGCTAAGGCTGGCTGTAAACTGCTTTCACGTTAATGGATATGGAATGATAGTGAGGTAACAAACAGGTAGAAATGCTCCTCATTAGTTCAAAATGAACTCAGAATCCTCTGTCCAGCTGTGGACAAATCTAGCCTGGCGTGTCATGAGAACAGCAATGCCCCATTCTTGTCCACGGAGGACACAACTAATTTTGGACCCAATCCTGCCAGGTGCTAAGTGTCTCCATCATCTTTAATGGGAGGATGCTCAGTCCCTCATAAGGGGTTTAACCCCATGAAAGATGCTTCTTGTCAGCACTTCTGACTTCCTCTGTCCTTTCAGTTTCTTCCGAAGTCAGCAACTGCACGTGAATCACCATGGCAACCAAGCAACCCCCACCTCTAATGAAGAAGCATAGCCAGACAGACCTGGTGAGCCGACTCAAGACACGGAAGATCTTGGGAGTTGGAGGGGAAGATGATGATGGGGAAGTTCATAGGTCTAAGGTAAGAATCACCCCCATGCACTGTAATAATAAAACACTCTTCTGGGTGTATGGGGTGAGGAAATTGGATGGTCCTAAACAGAGAGACAGCAGGGGTGGTGTTCTTGGCTGCCCCACAGCAGGGAAAAGTGGGATTGAAAGAGCCTCTTACAATGGGTCAGACATTGGGTGTCCCTGAGGAGAGTGAGAACTTGCACCACCCTCCCCCATTGTGCCCGTCATTGACCTGTCTCCACACAAAGAAGGGAAACCTTGTTCCAGGCAGTGCAGGGGGCTCAAACATGCTGGTTTTACTTGAGCCAAACTGTTTTTAATGGGAAGGGAAGGAGGAAACGGCAGTGTGGGAACAACTTGGCAACCCATCTCCGAACCCGATGTTCTTTGTGGCAGGATAGATGTTTGCAATGGTCTGGTAACAAAGACTTGCAGAGAGACCTGTGGAGGTGAGAAGCTGGGAGATGTTCTGCATCAGGAATCTCTAGTGGCATGCAGCTAAATGAAAAGGTTACTAAAGAGACATTTCATTGCCCAGGAGTGGTCCAAAAAAAGAAGAAATAGCAAAGACCAGATAGATAATGGGATGAGGTTCAGCTGACAGTTCTCCCTTCCCCTGCCTGAGGTAAAAACAAGGTGGTAGGGAGGAACCCAAAGCAAAATCCCCACATCCAAACACACCCTAAACTTTGGGGAAATTCAAATGTGAACCATGCAGGATGGACCAAACCAAAATTCTGGATTGGTATTTGGACTCTGAGGCTCAGACCTCTCTAGCTGATGCAAGTTGAACTAAGAGGAAGATTGGTTTGGATGGTGGGGCTTGGTCCCCGTCCTGTGGGAAAAAGATGCCTATTTCTAAACTTTTGTGAATGTAGAATAACAACCTGATCAGTGAAGCAACCTGAAATGTGATAGGGCGAGAGGAAGGAGTAAGATACATGAAGAGGGCAGGAAAGAGGAAGACAACAGAAGTGTGTTTAGGGGAGGGAAATGGGAAAATGTGCTCAGGGCAAGAGAAAAGAGGAAATAGATGTCCGGAAAGGCAGAGGACCAGTAAAAAAACTAGGCTGGGATCCCTGAAATCCTAGCATCTGCTTAGCTGCAAGATTTAGAATAGCCCATCACCCAAATCACCACAGCATATTATCTTTGTGCCATAATAATCACTGGAACCCACATCCAGTGAGAGCATGTATGTGGGGGCTCGGTGACCTTTTGAATCTTTCACTGTCCTTTGGTGCAGCAAACACTTCAGGAAGTGCTTTGCAACTGAGATGCAGCTACATCTGGTGTGGCATACAGTAGAATCGCAGCTGTGGGTGGAATTGCCAGGCCTCTGGGGGTGGCAGGGCCTGGAGTTTCAAGCTGCTATTCTCACCTTATTAGAGATAATGCTTTATAAATTTAGGAATATACATAACTTTGTGGGTGGTTTATATTCTCTTTGAGAACACAGTCAGACACAAACATCCATCCATTTCTCCCCCCAATCTCCCCCCCCCGCTCATGCTGACACACAGCTTCATCACACACACACTGTATTGCTCATACAGAAACAGAGTTCTCCATAGTAAGCAGTGCCTGTGTAAGAGCAATAACATAGAAGCTTTTGACAGGGAATTGCAAAAGCCAGAGACTGCAAGACACTGAAGAGCAGGGATTGACAGTCGCTTGAAGGAATTAGTCACTGGGTTTGATTCTCAGTTGAGCTCATGCTGGGTTCAGCTGAGTTGGGGAGATACAGGTGGCTTTAAGATACCTCCCCGATATCAGGGCCATATAGGGCTGAATCAGCCTGACATAAGTCAGAGCAGCCACAGGAATGGTCCCCCTGGGGCTCATAACATTGGTCCAGGATTGACAGAGCGGTACACTCATCCCCCACCCCTTCTCACCTCTATCACTCCATATTTCCTTTCTAAGCCTGCCCTGCAATGCCCCATATATGGAGGGGAAGTCAAGGGGCCTTGGGTAACTTTATATCACTAGGAGCTTCCCCTCCATTAGAAGAACCCCCAACTTGCCCCTTTAGGAGTGTGTCACTGGAGCTGCACAAAGGGGACTTAACTGTGGTCGAGTATCAGGCCCATAGTCTTAGGAGTTAGAGATGGAAAAAGACATACGGTATCAGGTCACTTTCATTAGATCATTGTCCACTTCTAATTCCATCTGGATCCCCCTTTATCTAAATAAGTTTCAAAATGTTGGAGCTGGGGAAGGCCTGTCCAGTTGGTTATATCTGTTCAGACTTGCTCAGTTGAAGCTCATTAGTGTGAGAGGCAGGTGCAAATCAAAATCCCCCAAACCCACCCAAACCTTTGGGGGTGTTCACAGTTCAAACCCAGCTCTGAACTTCACAAATGACCTCTGTTTTGGAAGAGATGCATTGGATTGACTCACGCAGCCGATCAAAGCCAGTTCCTGATTCTAATTTTGCAAGTTGAATTCAACTAAGTGTTTTGGAATCATTGTGAGACGTAGCAAGGAAGGAAATGAGCATTTGTCAATTCTTGAGGCAGAACGGCAACACTTCCTTGGGTGGGAACCTGTACAGGAAATGATCCCTTGGAATTGGGTATTTAGAAAAAAGTCTGATGCGTTGGTATGTCCAGTGCAGAGATGTGTAAATAAGTTTGTCTGGGGCTGAAAACAAATCTATGCATGTAAAAGGAAAAGATAGTCTTGGTGTATTGACCGGGGGTGAGATGTGCCCAAAATGCTCACGGAGACTTAATATTTGACAGTCGGCTGGACTATAATGGGACGGGATCACTGACCTCTCACTCTGAGCCCCTTCCACCTCTACTTTAATTTCTAGAACCCCTTTGCCAGAGAATGCTGTGGCTGTTTTCCTCAGACTTCTGTAAATCATGGAGATGAGCTATGGTGGCAAAAATAAAGCAGCAATTTAAGCACTGTGCACTATGCTCTTCTGATGTGCTAAGGCTGGCTGTAAACTGCTTTCACGTTAATGGATATGAACACTGTCTTTAAACTATTAAACCACTGCTGGAATTTTATTGTGAGGGCACCCATTAGGTGACTTTAAGCTTGTGCTTTATGCACACAGCCAGTCAATCCACTCAGCATAATCTAATGCAGATACCTCAGAAATTAGTGCAATTTATTTATAAGACACTCCTGGTGCCCATGGAGGATTGGGTTACAAATGGATGAATGGAGTAGTTTAAAAAAAAAAAAAAAAAAGTATATCATATCTAGGTAACTGCTTTGTGCTCTTCTGGAAGGCCACCTCAGCCTAGTCTTCCCTGGGAACATTTTTATCCTGCTGAGAGTTGTCCCTGAACACCATCTGGGACTAGTCTCCCCCTGGAGGGTGGGGAAAGAGTACTTGCATAAACTTGTCACAGCTGTAAGTAGCTCTCTCTGGCCCTGAGGGCCTCCCCCATGCCTTTCCCTACATGCAGGAAATGACACAGAATGGAACACAAAGCTGTTTTTTCCTCCCCAACTGAGTGAGATGGAGGCACCTTGGTAACTGTGCAGGCAAACATGGCTGCCATTTTGCAATCAGCTAAGCTCCCATCCTGCCTGGGACAGAGAGAGAGAATGTTATTTTATTGGGGTTAGCCAGAGTCTGATATCACAGAGGGAATAGGGATAATGCTGGCAGCAGGGGGAGTGGCCTGTCTTGTCTGCCTGCATTAATCCATAATTCCTAAGGGTGTACAGCTCCCCATACCTTATATCTGGTTGGGGGTACCCCCGAAGAGTGGCTCTTGAACCGTGGTCAGAGGATGCTTCCTGGTGGTCTACAGAATAGAACACTTTAAGGGGAGTGGGATCTATGAGGGGCTCTGATTCTAGTGAAGGAATGCATCTACAGAATGGACATGCTGGAGAATCATGGCCCCATGCATATTTCTCCACAGCCAGCAGCCCCCATCTGTGCAAACAGACAGCTACTCCCTCCCACCCGTAAGAGGAGACGCTCCATGGGGGGGGGGGGGGGAAAGGAGTTTCTTAGGGGGTGGGGCTCCAAATAATCAAATGATCCTTTGGGAACTTACCAAAGGGGGCCAACAGATCTCGATGAGGGGGAAGAGATTCCACCCAGAGTAAGATTCCCCATAGGGTTGGATATGTGCCCTCTCCTCAGGCTGATGGACACTATCTGCAGGAGCTTGGGGATAGGCTGTTCAGACACCTCATGTGTTCTCATTTGAATTTCAGATCAGTCAAGTCCTGGGCAATGAAATAAAATTTGCTGTGCGGGAACCCTTGGGGCTCAGGTAAGTTTCCATGGAGAGTCTGAGTGATGAGGCTTGTGAGATTAAGGGTCGTCTTGGGCTTAAATATTTACCTGGGCTGATACCTTCTCTCCATTCACATTTGCATCCTTGCATCCTCCTTAGCCTTACTAGCCACAGAAGGGTGCCCTTGGGGCTTCTTGTCAACACAATGGTCAGGGAGGCAGATGCTTCTTATAACAAGGCACCTGGGCTGATGAGCCCAGGTGGCTGTACAGGCACTCCTATGATGACCCTGAACAAGAGGGGCTCAGGTGGACAGGTGACTCACCCATGCAGTATTTGTGTGGATGTCTCCTCTGCAGTAGGGGGTGTACTGGGTGATGTCCCCTTTGCCAATGGGTGGTTTGTGTCCCCTGTGCTGGGTGGGTGGGTACAGTATTACACTTCAGTGTGCACAGCAGATTTCTCACTTGTGAGAGGCATGGTGACGTCCTTACCTTTTTGATGGGCCTGTCCCAGTTGTATGCTATGTGGTGGTATGAAGGTATCACTCAACTGTGATTAGGCATCTAACTTCCATTGAAATCAAGGGCAGATAGGCACCTAAATTCCTTTGAGGATGTGGGCATAGGAGTCACTCATCTGTGGGGGTGTCAAGTGGGGACTTGTACTCTTGTATGGTATCTAAGAGGGTCTCCCCTGTGTTCTAGAACAGAGCCCCTGGCATTAAACATCATCTGGGATCTTATGTTAGGTCTCTGCCTCAGTGATTATCTCTGGGCTCTGAATGTGGATATAGCCCCTTTTAAATACAAAGGGGCAAACCCTGCCTTTTGAGCTATTGCTGAACCACTGCTGGGGGGTGAGAAATCTCCAGGGCTGGCTGTGGACCTGAGAATTCTGTCACAAGGCAGTGTCCCAGGTGTGGACTGGATGTGGTGAGTCTAATTCCCTCTCTCTGTTATGAGAGGGATTGGGGGGGGGAGGCCGGTGTGGTGTTTGTTTAAGCTGTAGAAACTTTTAGGCAGCTGTGAGCAGGTTTCTTCCTTCAAGAGCACACAAGCTAAGAGACTACAAGGATTTGGGAGATTGTGCAGCCTGTTGGCTACAAGTAGAAACTTGTAGGAAAGGTTTGCCAAATGTGTCAGGGTGGGAGTCTTGAATGAGTAAAAGTAAGTAGTGGGACTGTATGAGCTGATGAGTTTGGGGGTAAGTTGCAGTGTGCCAGGGATTCTAGGTTGGTCCTATAGCTGATGGGAATGTCCAGTTAGGTGCCCAGCCCTTATTGGCTACTAAATCAAACGTTGTGACTATAGACAAGCCTAGAAGAGGAGAAAAACTGAATGTGCAATACTCCAGCCCATTAACCTAGCCACTGATGCCCAAAGGAGACCTGTCCTTCCTCCATTGTGCACCACTGAAATCAATCATGCCCCAAATGCCCAGCTGACTTGAGGCCTTTACCATCTACCTCAGTCAGATGCCCCAAACTGATTGTTCCAGCTAGCCAGGAAATCCCTTGGTGGTTATCTATATTCCATACTGGTTGCTTCTAATCAAAGACAGTTTCTCCATCCACATAAAGGATCACAAACTGAATTCCCTTTGCCCTATATCCTGGGTGGGGGTGTCCTCTGGGATATACCTGGGGCCACCCTGCTTGGGCAGATGGAAGAGTGAGAGTGTGGGGAATCTCTGTGCCTCTGATCTGTGTTTCTTCCCATGCAGGGTCTGGCAATTCGTCTCTGCCATCGTATTCTCTGGGGTCGCCATCATGGTAAGTGGGAGAACCATTCCCAGAAAGAGCCCAACCCGGTGCTGCCAAAGTCGTCACCTAGCAACCTCCATGGCCCTAGGCATCATCACGACCCTCCAAAAGCTGCTGCCGCTTTCTCTTCCTGGCCTGTGATCAGCTGTCTCTCTCTGTAATTAATTTTACCAACAGCTTCCCTGACAGGTTGTTCCTAACACTTGAGTCCCAGCCTCTAGTAGCAGGTTCATAAAACCACAGTTGGCAGCAGGGGTCTCATTTCTCTAATTCTCCCCCCCCACCCCCAAGTGACCCGAAACACAGGTAGCACCCCTGTTCTACAGTATGTCTCTCCAACCCAGGGGGAGCTGCTGCTCTTCTACTTTTATTGTCTTCAAGTGACCCGATCTCATGTAGAGCAACTGAGATTCCCTCAGTTTCCTTCCTGCTCCTTTTAGGCTCTCACTTTCCCTGATCAGCTCTATGACGCCGTCTTTGAAGAAGAATCCGTCAACAGCAAGACTCCCATCAGGCTGTATGGAGGAGCCCTCCTCAGTAAGTAATGCTGAGACTGAGCTTAGAGATTCAGTCTGTGGGACTAACAGGGAAGATGTTGAGAAGCTCTGAGTGAAGAATCCTAATGGGGAGGATGAAGGAAAGCTCTGTACCAGACCTAATGTCAGACCTGGGTAGGACAGAGCCAGGCAATGTTCAGGTAAATGCACCTTCATCAAGTGGATTTTTTTGTTAGCTCTAGGATCAAGAAAGCCCCCTCCCTCCATACGGTCTCTAACATTGTATTGCACAGTGTGAGGGGAGGAGATTGCAAGCTGCCAGAAATGGAATACTAGACTGGAAGGGCCATGAGTCAGAACTGGTTCAGCAGGAGGGGGTGGAGGACACAAGGCTAGATGGCCCATCTAGCCTTGATGCAGAACATGGGGGTACTGGGCTAGGCAAGGCACTGGCCTGTTCCAGTGTGGCAGTTGCCTTGTCCCTCTGAGGCTGGAGTCTTTGGGGGAAGCAGGGCTGCCTCCTCCAGCGCCATGTTCTGCAACCTCCAGCCTTAGCAAGCATGGAAAGATGCAGAACATGAGTCGGCCCTCTTTCAGTGCCATGTGGGGAGGAGGAGGCGGAAGCAGCAAAACTGGAGGGTGGAGGAGCTGAAGGTGGGAGGCTTAGGGAAAACATAGTGCTGACAGATTTTCTCTTGGGAATGACAATGCATAGATTAAAAGCAGCAGAGAGTCCTGTGGCACCTTATAGACCAAGACGTATTGGAGCATGAGCTTTCGTGGGTGAATACCCACTTCGTCGGATGCAGTCTGTTAGTCTATAAGGTGCCACAGGACTCTTTGCCGCTTTTACAGATCCAGACTAGCACGGTGACCCCAATGAATAGATTGGTTTTATGGAAGTTCAGACTCTGAGGGTGGCGTGTATAGTAGGGAGGGGAGAAGCCTGCTGTACTGCCTTTCACTAGCACTAAACTAACACAGATCATACCCACAGCGTCTGATCACTCTTTGAATCCATCTCTGGGATGCTGAGGATAATGGACAGAGGGAGTGATGGCTGGAGAGAGAATCATAGAATATCAGGGTTGGAAGGGACCTCAGGAGGTCCTCTAGTCCAACCCCCTGCTCAAAGCAGGACCACTCCCCAAATTTTGCCCCGGATCCCTCAATGGCCCCCTCAAGGATTGAACTCTCAACCCTGGGTTTAGCAGGCCAATGCTCAAACCACTGAGCTCTCCCTCCCGTCTGCTTATGACAGTGGGTCCAAGTGCAAGGTCTCGTGTGGTGTTTTTTTGTTTTGTTTTTAAATGGTGGCAGGAATCACCCACGGGTACTGTGCCTGGTAGGTAGCAGAATCAGGGGTTCTGGTACATAAGGAAACCTGTTCTCAGCTTATCCACTGCCCATCACCTCTCCTTAGCCTCTAGCAGCACCCGGTGGTGCAGAATGGAAGCACAGCCTGCTCTTGAAAATCCCAGTGCTGTGATACAGCTCCCCTTTTGTTGGCCTCTGGTTTCCCTTTGTCTCCTCCAACATAAGGTCAGGACAGGACTTCTCCATTCTCTCTGTCTCAGGGCTGCTGAACAGTGGTGCTTTCTGGAAAAGGCATGAACATGACTCAGCCATGCAAGGCAAAAAGCTTATTACTAGAGTTGGCCTATTTGAGATCTGGATTTTGGGAGAGGGAGTTTGGCAGTTTAGTGAGTCACGTGGAGTGGTAGGCACGGAGCTGCAGGTGGTTCTTCCATACTGGGATGTCATGAATACCTATGTCCCAGTAAACAACCTCTTTGGCACTGGGATTGTTCACAACGAGTCGCTCTAGTCCCCCTCTCCATCCCATCATGTTTGTAGTGTTTGCATTTCTAGTGCATGCATTACCATATTATCTAGGTGTGGTGGAGACAATCTTGGTTACAGGATTCAGGTTGGGGCACTCTAGCAGTGTCAAGCCTGGAAGGTGGATCCATCCAAATACATTGCAGCAACCCCATCTGTAACTTTGGGCCATCACAGTAGATTACTCAGTTCCATCAGCACAGCTCTATCATGCCTATGAGTGTTAGCCCCATGAATTAGTTGTTGTTACTTCCGAGATTCCCCATAGAGGGGTCTCTGAGCTGCCCCTTTCTCCTGCAACATCTATCAGCCTGTGAAGCAGTTTTTCTATGTGCTCTTTTCTCAGGTCTCTCCCTTATCATGTGGAATGCCCTGTACACATCTGAGAAGGTAGTCATCCGTTGGACCCTGCTGACAGAAGCCTGTTACTTTGGGGTGCAGTTCCTAGGTGAGTAGCTCTACTGGAGGGTGTGGTGGGGCGGAAAGCAGAGGGGATTGGCCAAGTGATAGGATATCCCTTCCCCACACAAGTGCCTGGGAGGAAGGGAATCCTGTAAATGGCAAAGCAGTATAACTTGCACTGATCTGGCATTCAGTGGGGGAAAGATTCTGCTCTTATTTACATTGGTGAAAATCTGGAGTCCCCTCATTGAATTTAGCGGTGGTCTCTAGACTTACTGTAGTGCAGCAGAGACCATAATTGGGCCTCTGGTGTTCAGCGTGAGTGAAACTTACCCAGTCAGAGGGCTGAAGAGAGAGGATACAGTAGAGGAGGCAAAGTCGTCGATGCAGTCTGACACTTGTGGAGTGACCATCGCCATAATACCCAGCCCTCCAGGGCACAGTATCTGCCACCTTGCTTCTTATGTGGTTATCCACAAACTGTGCAGCAAGGGGGCAAAGAGGGCATAAAGCACTACAAAGTCACAAGAGGAGCTATAGGCCAGTGGGGTTGCTGACCAGCCCAGGAAGGGTTTAAATGCCACACCCTGCATCTGTTCAGGCCCTTTCTGCAGGCTACTGTTGATTGTCCCAACAACTTTCAAACAGTTCAATATAAATCCAATAGCTACCTTTTCCCTGACCCAGGGACTTCCTTGCCAGAGCCTCCAGTCAGCTCTTCCCCAGGTTGCCTATAGACCATTTGCCTGGGAAGCAACCTGTTTTCTATAGCAGTCTCTCTCAGCCTTGGCAGACATCAGCTGCTCATCATTCACCTGACCCCTTCCCAGCTGGGTCTGATAATACCCGGTACAGGCCCCAAGCAGCTGTTCTGGAATAGGCTCTGCCTCAGAATAGGCCTGGTTGTTCTTAAGAGTGGACTAGGCTGCTACAGTAGCATGCCTGTGGAAAGCGGGGAACAAAATAAATGACCGCACAAGGCGGTGGAGAATCAGGCTCAGGATCTTAAACATCCTTCTTGCTGTTTCTTTTTCCACCACCCTCCCCCTCTTCCTTCTACATGGGCCGGAAGTTATATTTGTGTGCATACCTATGGAATGCCATTGGTCTACCCAGCTCTATTTTACCACAAACGCCCACTTCCCAGCCCACTTATTCCAGGCACTCCACAGCAAGCTGGAGCGAAGTTCTACAATTAGGTCCCTTGATTCTGCGGCATTCTGGCGTGGCAGACTGGAAATTCTATGGTAGCTTCACTTACTTTAAAATGGAGGATTTTTATTACATGAATAAGACATGGGACAACATGCTCTGATAGTAAATTACATTAAATTTACATGGTTCACACATGGTTTCCAATCTGCCACAGTTTCTTGCACAGTTTCTTGCATAGACAGCGCATTGGCGGCTTTGTAGAGTGGCCATGGGGGAAAGTGGCAGGTTCTGGCAGGGCATAGCTGCAACTTGTTACCTACTGAGGGGTGTGTTTGTGAGAGAAGCACATTTTATTAATATTTCTGCTTTGAAAAAAACAGCAATGAAATTAACAAACTCACTATTTAAGCGGTCAGCAGTAGGTTTCAGAACTACCCAGAGTAGGGTATTTCAGGCTGTCTGCCTGAAGATAGTTTTCTTTTTCCTAAGTGAAATTTTAAATGATTATTAGTGTAGGGCAAGGGATAAATGCCATGGCAAATTCTGAGACTGAAATTGCACAGTACATGGGACACTGTCCATGCCCCATATGTAACTTACTCCAATGCTGAATGTGGTCCCAGTGTTATTTCTTTAAGCTATATAATCAGTTGCTTAATGAGTCAGTGAATGATGTAGTGGGGCAGCAGTGTTAGAAGCAGACAAACAGATTGATGGATAGCAATTGCAAGGCTGTCTTGTAGTTTTCTCAAATCCTCTTTGAGAATCTTCACTAAAGGGCACTAGAGAACTGCACTGTATTTAAATGTACTCTGTTATTTCACTATCAACCTGTGCCTTGTCTCCCTCCTTCTCCTTCAGTTACCACCATCACCCTTGTTGAGAGTGGCCGGATATCCACAGGTGCCATGCTCCTCCTCACCAGCCGGATCTTCTTCATCCTTATCACCGTTTACTATTATTACCAAGTTGGACGGCGACCCAAGAAAGTCTAATCTCTGAGGCTTTCTGGGGGAGGGGAGTCGGGGTTTCTGTTAGTAACTTTGCATTCTTTTTTTGGTGGTTCCTTCTTGTTCTAAAGCAATTACCTTTTCCACTTACCAGCATGAATCCATGTGCAAACCCAGTGCTGGCACCATTGCCACATGAAGTGCAGGGGGAGAGCCGACCTCTGCAGCCCCTCCCCTACCATATTCTGCCTAGAAAAGGCAAGTGAACACAGCAGGGAAGGCTGACAAGATGTAAGGACCAGTCAGGCTCGTGGACAATGGAGGAAGCTGGCCAGTGGAATCACAAACTCAGAAACCTTTTCAGCAAAGCACAAAATGATAGCAGCACACACAAACTGAATCCCAAAGGGGAGAGGAAGCAAAGGCAGCCAGCCAAGGACTCAGTCCAGCTCCTGTAGGCTTGGAGCTGTTCATTTGCCTTGCTCTCACACCTATAGCCTTTCTCCCTTTAGTGAGCAGATTTCAGAACTAATCCTGGCCAGCCCCCTAAGGCAGGGCTGCTGACACAGCTCCAATCAGGTAGTGTCGTGGTTTTTTTAGAGACAACACCCAATGTATTTACTCTGTGCTGACAGATCCTATAGGAATGCAGGACACACGGAGTTAAATACAGCAAGAAAAGAGGGTGGCATCTTTATTCCCTTTTCCAACACAGTCCCGTGAAACACAGCCAAGCTACATCCAAATCTTGTGTGGATCTCTTTGAGGGAGAGTGGTGTAAAAGGATGGAGAAAGAACACTTGGGTTGCATTAGGGGAGAAATGTAAAGAGCTGTTGAATAGTCTCTAAGAATGAATAAGCCTCATTGTCTTGGAAGTTTGGTATATAGTCTGCTGCTGCTTGTATTTTTTTCCTTAATTCCTATTGCAGTAGTTCCCCTGTGGGTAATGCTAGTGAGTGCTCTCGCATAGATCAGCCAATGCCACTTTAACCAGTCCCCTACTTCGGTCTAGATAAGGCCATGGTTAAAATACTCCTTATGTCCTGTCTATGCTAGAGCACCCATCTTTGCTACTGCTTGTGGAGCTGTGTCACTATTAAAAGGCTTGTGCCAATGAGGACTGCAGGGGGTAAATCACTGTCTGTGGCTACTTGTGTGAATCTACTCTAGTAAAGTGAGGGACTAGATGAGCCAGCTGGTCTTCTCCACTCCTAATGTACCAATTTCCTTTTGGATTCAGCAGAAAAAAGGACCAAATGCTGAGGTCTTGTGTCTTCAGGATCCTATTTGGATGGGATAAAAGTACTACTTGTGCCTTTTCAGGCATTCTAGGACTTTGCTGTTCTCTGACCATTTCCTCCTATTGCTCTTGAGGCTGAGGAGGACTGGTTCTTCTACGCTTCTAGTGACAATCCTGGAGAAGAAAGTACCTTGCCCCCCACGCTTTCCAGTACTATGCTGCTTGTTCTCCACGGGACTGAAACCAGAAGGATTGGCTAGATGGCATGGACTTATTTATGCACCAACAGGGGGAGCTATTGAGCTGAACCAGTATGTGCACAGGAGTAGAGCTGACAGCCCTGGAATGAGCATGGGCAGGCTCCTGGCTGTTGAGAATCAGAACTGAGGTGGCTGCTGAAGAACATTAGCTTTAAGGGCCCCGTAGCCAGGAAAAAAAATCCCTGATTAAAGTTAACATGGACATCCACTGAGCATTCATAGTAAAGCCTAGTGCATTTTCACTACCGCTCTCCCCCAAAGCCTGTTTACCTGCTTCTGGTGTTTACAAACAGCTGCATGAACTTGGTCTGCTGCGTGTATTGCAATGTCTGGGTCAAGGGGGAACACTGAAAATATTGGAGCGGTTACTAAATGTGATGACTGGGAAAAAAAGAACTTGATACCTCTTGCTGCTCTTAGCCTGGGGCGAAACTCTGGACCCTAAGCTACTTGCTAATGGTGCAGGTGTTGTAACTCTCCAGCCTGGCCAGTAGAAGAGCATGTATATAGTTAAAATTCATCATGATCCTCAGGGGTACTGTCTGGAATGGAACCTGTAACTATGTGGATCCTGGGTTAATTTTATTTCAGCAGGAATAGGCAGGCAGGAGGACAGTATCTTTCTTTGAGGGGGGGGGGGGGGGTAGAAAAGTGCTGCCCCCAGCATACACCATGGGCAACCAGGGCTGAGCTTGTATTAATCAATGCACCATAGCTCAATAGGCTTTAGCTCTGAACCACTGTCAGAAGGCCCCACCTGTGAACCTGTCATGGCAGTGAACCACCTCTGCATCTGAAGCCCCAGCCCCCTTCCCTGGTTCCTGGATGGGAATGTTCAGAAGAGGGTTTTGCTGCTCTAATTTCAAGTGTTTGAGCAAATGGGTAGCTGCCACAATGATTCTGTCCTCTGGTGTGTGTTACCCCCTCAGTGAGCTGGAGAGAGCAGAGGGGTGGGAGGGGGGGCAGCTGGCTCTGAGAGGTAATTCAATGCTAAAGGCCTGCTCCCAGGAAGATGGATAGAATGGAGCATTAAAACCAACCTACTCTGCAATGCTCAGAGCATTTTTTTTTTTTTTTTTTTTTAAATCTTGTAACCAAGTCCTAGTGGTGCCCTAGGGACTGGGGAAAGGAGGGAACAGTGGGGGGGAAGTCATTTGCAAATTAATATGCTCTAGTGATGAGGACAGAGTATATGGAACATCAGGTGGTCCCATGCCTGTGTGGGTATGTTTACACCAGAGCGGGAAGGTTAGATAGGGCTGAAGAAGCTGGTTAGCCCATGCTGCTGTAGCTGCACTTCCAGTCAGAGTATGAGCTTGATCAACTCTCTCTCTAAGCTGCAGTGGGGCTGTCTCAGGGTACTGGAATTTACACCTCTCAGCTCTAATGTAGAGAGAGATGTACCCTGTCTGAGAAGAGGTGTATGCAATCCTCCCTAGCAATCACTAGTTACCCATGGCTGACTCTACAAGGGACAGTGAGAGGGATCAGGGCTGGAGCACTGTGGCTATTTCTAAGGGAAGGATCCAGGCAATACCACGCAGCACTGCCAGAAGCTTATAGCTAGCAGGGGGTTGCTGCCTCACTTTGGGCTTTACTGGGGGAGTTTACAATTGTATTTTAGAATTAAATCCTACAGGAGAGAGGAACCAGGTATTAGTCACTGCTGGGTGGTTCCTTCCACTCTTTTAAGGTAGGTTAGGCAGCAGCAGCACCACCTTGCTGAAGTTTCACAGGGATTGGGCCTAGAAGCATGAGGACAATTGCTAAGTGGCAGCACAGGCTAGCAGTCAAGAACACAGTTGGGAGGCAAAAATTATTAGGCTTTAATCCTGGCTCTGCCACTGACTAGCTAGATGATCTTGGCCAAGTCACTTCACCTTCCAGCCATCAGTTTCCCCATCTCTGAAATGAGGGTAATGAACCTGACTTACCTTGACGGAGATGGGGGGACAGCATTGCAAGGTGTTTGTACAGCCCTCTGCACAGCAGAGAAGTATTCTCCAGGTGCCTGAGTTCTGAACAGAGACGAGCCTGCAGTTACAGAGTGGGTTTCTCCAAATGGTTCCTGTGTCTGCAATGGGCAGAACGAAAACCTTGGATTCTTACAGCCCAAAACTTAAGGTGAGGGAGGTTAAAAATTCAAGCAGGTTCCTTACTGACCTCAAGGCAAGCTAGCATTGGCACTGGGGAGGAGAAAGGCTCTCTAGTCCCACTGCCACTCCCTCGGCCAGCCAGCCTTTCCTGTCTCTTAGGTTTTTTGGATTCAGTTTATACCTCATCTTATCTGAGTTTATTCCTCCTTTGGTGAGAAAAGTGACTGTACTTAACATAAAAAACCCCCAATCATGTGAATAGTGAAAATTAAAGATGTCCCACAGCACTGTCACAATACCTTTATTTATTTATTTATTTATTAAGAAATGCACACAACCTCTGCAGAATGCTTCAGGCTCATGTTCTGGTTTATATTACAAAAAATCCTTTCAATATAAAAAGCATTACAATAGGCAATAAAGGATAAATTAGCTCCACTATCTAATAAAAGGAACATTTACAATTTTTAAAATAGATTTCAACGTTCTTTCACACGCAGGCTGTTTCCCAGGCACTCGCAACAGTAATTTAAGAGTTAAATAATCGAGACGGAGGGGTGGACTTACAGAAACAAACTGCTCTAGATAATTCTACAGCATGGGGGCTAACACTGTGGTGACTCTATATAAGTTGCTTTCCTACACAGAGCTCTCAAGTGAGGAGTGATTATACCTCAACACCCTGCCCCCAAAAGAACTCAAAAGGGAAAAAATTGTTTGTTCCTCCTGGCTAGAGCTCTGGGAAGAACAAGACCCAGCATTGTTGATTATACAGCATGAGACCACAGACAAAGGCAGTGACACATCATGGTGATCAAAAAACAAAACTTGTGTCTCACAGTAACAAAGGATCCCCCATTCTGGAGTCTCCTTTTCATTAAAATGCCATACCTCTCCCCAGCATTTCAGATGACCCAAGATGGCTGGAACCTACATGAGGGGTTTGTGCATATCTTAACAGCTGTCTCAATTTCTTTATTGGAGGGTGCTGCTTTCTGGATTCTCGAGTGTGTCTCAGGACAGGATGAGAATTCAAAATGATCTTAAACTGGAGAAATACTCTGAAGTAAATAGGATGAAATTCAATAAGGACAAATGCAAAGTAATCCACTTAAGAAGGATTAATGAATTGCACAAATACAAAATGGGAAATGACTGCCTAGGAAGGAGTACTGCAGAAAAGGATCTGGGGGTTATAGTGGATCACAAACTAAATATGAGCCAACACTGTAATGGTGTTGCAAAAAAGCAAACATCGTTCTGGGATGTATTAGGAAGAGTGTTGTAAGCCAGACAGGAGAGGTAATCCTTCCACTCTAGTCAGTACTGATAAGGCTCTTCTAAAGTACTGTGTCCAGTTCAGGGCACCACACTTCGGGAAATGTCAACAAATTGGAGAAAGTCCAGAGGAGAGCAACAAAAATATTTAGAGCTCTAGAAAACATGACCTACAAGGAAAGATGGAAAAAAATAGGATTTGTTTAATCTGATGAAGAGAAAGCGAGGGGAGACAGGCCATGATAATAGTCTTCAAATATGTAAAAAAAGAAAGAGGAAATATGTTAGAAAGAGGAAAGTGAAAAATTTTCTCCTTATCAACTGAGGACAGGACAAAAAGTAATGGTCTTAAATTGCAGCGAGGGCGATTTAGCTTAGACATTAGGAAGAACTTCCTGTCAGGGTGGTTAAGCACTGGAAAAAATGACCTGGGGAGGTTGTGGAATCTCTGCCATTAGAGATTTGGAAGAACAGGTTAGACAAACACCTGTCAGGGATGGTCTAGATAATACTTAGTCCTGCCATGAGTGCAGGAGACTGGATTAGATGACCTCTTGAGGTCCCTTCCAGTCCTACATTCCTGTGATTCTAGCCCTTTAAAGAGAGGATATGAAGGTTTCAGCAAGATCATCAGCACAGCCATACTGGGTCAGACCAAAGGTCCATCTAGCCCAGTATCCTGTCTTCGGACAGTGGCTAATGCCAGGTGCTTTGGAGGGAATGAACAGAACAGGTAATCATCAAGTGATCCATCCCCTGTAGCCTAAGGTGAGAATGGGGGTAGATGACAACTGCATAACAGAGGCAGGGAGGACAGAAAAAGGGAAAGAAAGGAGAAGAGACAAGAGGGGTGTATGGGTGAGATAAGAGAGAAAGACAAGATGGAAAAAAGAAAAGTTCTTTTCTATGAGAGAAAAAGGGACACAGGAAGAGACTAAATAAATGGGGGAAGGCGAGAGAACAGCCATGACAGGAAAAGAATAGAGGGAATAAAAAAAGATAAAAAAAAGTGATAAATAGGAAAATGAAAGGGGAATAAGCCTGGAAAGGCAACATTTAGGGTTTGCTATTGTAGTTATCCCTGTTCCTCTATTGGACTGTGCACATGCTGACAGACTCTACTCTGGAAAAGGCACACTCAGAAGGATGTCCTTTGAATCAGATTCTTTGTGCTTGTAAGCAGAGCTGTGTTTTTCATTTTCAATTACACAACCCTAGGCCAGGCAGGGCCTTCTCCTCCATCTGCTAAATTTCAAGACGCGATCTGGGCCAAAGGGAACCTTTCACAATAGAGTAATTAAGGGGACTCTGAAAGCAAAGAAGATGGGTTGCTCCTCCAGCCACCAAGAATTCTAGCTGTCACAGGTTAGGCACCCAGCCAGAGATCCAGACACCAACTGACAAGAACAAACACTCTTTCCTGCTGTTTATGGTGTTTTGGATGTTAGCTATTCAGATTCTATTGCCAGCTACAGATTCTGGCTATTATAAGCTGAGTAATGGGGGTTGTTTTGGCTACTACTTCCTCCCCTTCCCCCCACACCTTAACAACTGTGTTCTTTTTAGTTTTTTTCCTCCCTTGGGAATCACTCTCTTCAGTGTGCACAGTGACTAGCTCTTGGGGCAGGGTCACACAGCCTTTTCCCTTCATCTGCCTGTATCTAGAGAGGAACATCAATTATTGAGTCTGTCCCCATCCCAGTGGATTAGCACAATGTTATGGCTCAGTTTCCCCTATGCACACACCTCTCGTGGTGGGTTGACCACTCAAAAACTCCTCCCACGCTAGACCATTAAGTGCAGCCGATTGTTTTTTTTTTTAAAGTTTTAGGAACAAATTACAGAGCCTTCCAGCAGGTGCAGATACTGCCAGTTTTGTTAGCAAAGCCACTTTCCTTCATTATACATAGGAGCAGAATTTAAGTCTAAAATGCATCAATAAAACTGCTCCTAGGGGTAATTACCTAGAAGCCCTTTCAATAAAAGTTTTAACACAGCATCTGAGGCCTTTCACTGTTCAATAGCTCTGCCCAATTCCATCATTTCTCCACTGCTGACTTCATTTGTGGGTAGGGACTGATTTTCTTCATGTCCATGCACAGATCTCTCTGATGATTAGACTCATATCTCCAAGCGATTTCCACATGTCCTCAGAAACCCTGTATGTGAGGTTCTAATGTCCTATTCTTATCCTTCAGCAGCCTAATTCTTCACCCTGGTGCATAGTAAGTCAAGGTCCTTTGCCAGGTAGTAGGCAGGCCAGCTTCACCATTACCTATATCACATCTGCATGGTCCCTTCTAGGAAATCCCCGAGGACATGGGCCCACTTCTATCACTGTAAATGCTTCACCTGCCTTGGATCCTCAGTTCTATCCTTTGTAACCCTCTATCAAGGTCCTTATGCATTTTTCTCAGGTTTGGTTTTAAATGATTAAATGGATGACACTATTTAAATGTCAAAGTGGCATCTCAACGGAGGAAACCCTAATAATCCAGGAGGCTACGTTAAAATGACTTTAGTTGATTCCACTCTCTTCTCAGCCCCCTGGGACAAGCTAAAGGGAAACTCAGATCATAAATGAAGTCACAAGACTCACAAAGCAAATAGCGTGGGAGACAACTACAAATGGGCCCCTTTGCCACCAGTACCATGTTTGGGAATTCCCCACCTGGCTGGAAGGAACATTGGAACCCAGTGCAGATAATTAAGCTAACAGAGCACTACAAAAGTACAAACTACAATTTTGCATGTCGGAATTGAGTGGCCAAGATTTAGAAGACAAAACAATATGCCCTTGCCCTGAGGCTGGCAGCATCAGCTATTTTTGGCCAGACCAATCATTTTTAAAGGAGAGAGGGGTAAGATCAGGATTTGGGAACCCCTTGCTCTCCTCTCATAAAACACTGAACAAAAAACCAAAGTGACAGAGTAAATAAGGAAAGGTATGCACCAAACTTCTGATTGTATCTCAGCCCTCTCCCAGCCCCTATTAGAGGAGGATCTTCCTCATTTCCCACAGGGTCACCTCATCCCCTGTGATGGGACTCCAGGGAAAGGCATACTCCACTCCAAGTGGTCCAAGAGTTCTCCTGGAGGTGTTAAGTGATGGTAGTTGACCCTCCTCTACTGAGCCATTTCCTACAGCCATTTCCTGGCTGGCAGTTAAAACTTTAGACCAGAAATGGAAATTAGTAAACAACGGCTGCCACAGTTTTCTGGGTATCAAAAGCCCTTTTTGTCTGGTTGTTTGAAACTTTCCTGACCTTTACACCCATGTGCTGTGGTTGACCTGCTTCCTTTGGGTACTGAATCTAGCCCCTGTGGCGTTCTTCTCTTTCTTCACTATCTAAAACAATAAAGTTGTGAATATACTAGGCAGTGTCCTGCTCTGATGGGGACCATTTCAGTTGCCTTCCCTCCCACCCACCCTGCAAGCGCCGTCAGTCTCTAATGCAATTCATTGCACTTCGCTCTGATCAATGTCTGTGCAGGTTGCTCTGGGAGAAGGTCGGTGTGGCTTAATGTAGTGCACAGCACCTCAAAGTTCCCGCCCCTGAAGTACAATCCTTTTGGTCATTCATATATTACAACCCTTTTTTGTCTCCATTTTGTAAAAAAAAAAAAAAATAAAGTTTTCCCCCCCCTCTTTTTTTCGGTCTTTCTTCCAAGTACATAGGAGCGTCGCAGTTGCTCAGGGGGCATCTCCTACTGGATCCCTCGAAAGAGACACATTGCAAAGATCATGGCAAACAGCTGGAAAGGGATGAGAAAGAAAAGGACAAACAAAACACAGCCATCAGCCATATCTTACAGAACAGTGAAAAACCCTTACTGAGGCCTAGGGCTGCCCTGACTTAATATAGACTGAATGAGGAGGGGGAGCTCTCCTCACGCCAGCCAGGGTGAAAGAGAAGGCAAGGTATTGCTTACCCAAGCCTGGGAGAGAAAAGGGTTTTAGCAGAGGAGGGGCTGCACTCTTCTCCACACTTCCCATTACTTTAAACCCTATTCCCACCCACTATCAACAAAAACACCCTCGTGGACGATGGCTACCACACCAACCTGGGCTCTTTCCAAATTGTCTGCAAGTGTTCTGGGTAGGGTACACTGCTAATCTGCAGGGCTCCCACGGCCCACTCTGCACCCTCGCCTGCCATGGAGCTCACTCTCCAGCCAGGGGGTGGAATGCTTTGCTGGTCCCAGTAGCTGCTGCTCCCTTCGGCAGGAAGGCAAGCCACCCTCACTCTCTGAAACTCCCCTCTAGAGATCCAAGTGCATCAGCCCCACACACATTGCCAGCGTATCAGGAAACCACACGCCAGAGCCCCTGTGACAGTGTCCCAAAGCAGCGTCATGTTCAAGTAGGGGAGACTTTCTGATGGAAACCTGGCTCTGCTTATTTCAGCCCCAAAATGCCAAATACGGATGCTTTCTATAATGGAGATATATGCAGTGTTGCCAACTCTCATGATTTTGTCATGAGTCCCATGATCATTATTGTTTTCCTTAAAGTCCCAGCTCCTGGAGTCAAGTGGATAGGTGATGATTTCTGCCTTCATTCCTAAAGAAAAAGTAAGTTCCTAGCCCTCGTGACTGTGGAGAAAGCTTCAAAATGTGACCCCAGTTCACCATAAAGGCTCAAAAAGCAGAAGGCAAATAAAAAGAACCCCAGATCTATTGTTTTGACATGATTTTAAAACCATTCTCATGATTTTTGAACATTTGGGGTTGGCAATACTGTATATGTTTATAATCTCAGGCCACTATAGTTTCAGACTCTATACAGATGCCCCTTAAAAAGGCACAGTTTGAAACATATTAATCAAGATGTGCTTCTAGTTATCCCCTCGGACCACATGGTTGTGTTACTATTATCCTCTCCTCCAATGGTCTGTGACACTCACTCATTTCATCTTGTTTTAAGGGCAGGGACCATCTCTTTTATGTGTCTGTGCTGCAGAAACACACAACCGGGCCTGAAATGGGGCCTCTGGGTACTACTGGGAAAAATGCTGGATTCCTTAAAGCTTCTTATGGGCCTGTAATTTTATACCAGGCATAACGCCAGATGGCAGTGCAGGCTTGTACGATAAGGGATTTCTCTGCCCTGCATGCAGACGGACAGAAAATCCAGCCCTTACTTACTAGTTACTCTGAACTATAATCTCCCTGCATTTTGATGGGGAAGGGTCCTGTTGAAAGGCGAATGTGCAGCTCCTGTTCATGCTACTGGCTGCACTTGTATAGATACTGCATATTTAGCACATTAACAGCTCTGGTACCTCAATAGCCAAGACGCCAATGGTGAGAGCTCCTGCAAGGTACACATAGGTTTCGAAGGAGTTCAGGATCACAGTGTAACAGCCCTAGGAAAGAATAAACCATTGTGAAAAACAGACAAGCAGCAGCCCCGTTTCTTCTACAGACATTTGCTTATGACCCTTGTTTGTGTACCTGATGCATGTCAGACCCAGAAACCAGATACATGACCTCCAGTCAACAGACAGTGAATAACAGAGACCCACTCCATGGGGCCTTTAGGGAGGACAGCCCTTGGAGGCTGAGGCTGCAGTTGACGGGAGATGGGCTTGGCTAACAGAGCCATAACCCATCGCTAACCAACACTGGTCATAACCTTCAGCAGGGCAGACAAGAGTAGCACTGCAGAAGCCTTCACACTGCAGCAGGGATAGGACAAGTTGAGATGGGAGGATGGGCAAAATCAGATAGTACAACACTGGGTGGCTTCCATTATTTAGGCTGGTTTGCTTGAGGCTTCATTTTACAGCAGCGATTAGAGGAGGGGACCAGGAGTCAAGGTTCCTGGGTTCTATTCCGAGCTTGGACAATAATTCACTGAGCAGCCTGGAGCCAGTCACTGTCTCTGTTCCTTAGTTTTCCCATCTGTAACATGGGTCAAATCATACTTACCTAACATTCTTCTGAGAGAGTTAATGCTTGTTAAGAGCTTTGAGATCCTTGCATACATGGGAACACTGAAGTGTAAAGTAAACCTTATCATCCTAAAAGTTATTTATTGTCATTCATATTAATTATTAGTACGATGGGAAGCACCTGTAAAAGCTCCAGTAGAGAGAAGAACTCTGCTGGGAGGCACCAGTTTATCCAAATCTCAGTTGTGCTAGCCCACAAAATCCTTCAGCAAACTAGCAAATTTCTGCAAATGGGTTGTGTGAAAAGAAACAGGGACATCAGAGTCTGTTCCGTAAAAACGTCCATACCTCCTACTGAACACATACACAAATGTACACTCACATGTGCACTCATCCATGGACACATACTCTCTCAGTGTACACCCACCCACACATCCCCGCAAGCACACCCTCCCTCGCTCTCCATGCACGCACACAGACAGAATCCTGGGCTGTTTTAATCACCTAATTTTTATCTTCTTCAGAAATGGAAAAAAAGAATCAGTGGCCTTACTGAGCATGTCATGGATTCTGGTCTCAACCAGACCTTCCGAAATAAAGAGATGATGTAAAGGTCATCTGGGTGAAGAAAAATGAAAAAATCTCAAACACCCATGGGGAGCACATTGCAAGCAAAACTGCTGCATGTCCTTTTCAAGGGAAACCGTGCAATGAGCCATAGTTCGGCAAAGACACTTGCAAGTCAAAGACTGGGGACAGTGGATGGAGTGCACACATGCATTTATAGAGCGCGTCTTCATGCATTGCTGTATCTGACAGCACTCTACAAGGGCTCAAGTGCTTTCTTTATTAAGTCCTTTGGCTAAAGGGCAGGGAACATCATTTTTAGTGGCAAATAACTTAGTGTGTGTTAACTGAGAGATCTTTCTCCCTTCTGGAGATAGGGACAAAGTCTTCCACCATCCTCTCGTTTCAGTATCCCTGACTCTCAAGGGCCTCATATTGTAGTGACCTTGCCTACCACCTGCTGTGGCTCTCTCCAGAGTCCATCAATGATGCTTCCCTACATTGGCCAAAAGAGCTATTCTGCAAGCCCCAGAATGAGATCTCTGCAATACGACAATACAAGGCAGTGTCAGGAAACCACTGGACCACTCCATCCTACTGGGCTTTGGATGGCGTTCTATACACATTAGTTGTTAAGAGACCTTGGAGCCAAAAGATGCATCTATACAGGGAGAATTAGAACGGGTTTATCAGCAGCAGTGCAAGTGGCAGTGTAAACAGGGCTCAGGTGCTTTTACCACTGTGTTATATTTCCTCAGCCTGGACTGTACTGATTTTTATACTGCAGCTAGTACCTATGGCCGCTACACTAGTGCAGGAGTTATTATGCTACTGGTGCCAACTTTTCTAGAGCCGACAAGGTGCTACAAACAGTTCTTGTCTGACTTCCAGCTCGCAGAACTGAGCATCCAACCTTTTGGGTGCTTATTCAAACACAACTCCAACTTTGACCTGAGGGTCTCCCGTAGCCAGGGAGGCCGAAACAATTTGTATAGTGGGGGTGCTGAGAGCCATTGAACCAAACGGTAAGCCCTGTAGATGATGGAAACCACTTCAAACCAGGGGGTGTGGCAGCACGCCTCGCTCTAGCATCTATCCCCATAGCGCCCTTTGAACGGCCCCTGCTGCTCGGCAGGGTCAGCATGCCAAGAAAAGTTTTCAACACAAACTAGGCCAGCATCCGCCTAGCAGCTCTGCTTGCTAAGAACTTGACTTTGGTCCAGGAATGTTTGAGCTCAAACAACATTCAAAGAACCTCCCTCCTCCTTTACTGGTTAGGACTATTTCTGACAGTTGTCTCATGTGCTCTTTCTCCAGTCAACATGTTACACTAACACACACAGAGTAACAAGAATCTCTCTTTCCAAAGGATTGAGATGGGAACGTATGGACTCAATATGCTCCAATGACACCACAAACCGAAATGCAACAATAGGAAGAGAGACATTTTTGGTGTCCTCTTTAGCCCTGTTTGTCAAGATTAATGTCTTTTCCCCTCTCGAGTGTTTGTTGCTTCTCTCTCTCCCTTGTGTGCTTGAGGCAATCAGATCTGGCAGAAGCAGCGTTGCAGCGTCTGCTACGATCTCTCACCCAGACGGGGGAACAGCTCACAGACTGGTTCTAAACTAATCTGCCATCTGCTGCCAAGTGCTGGCAATGGAACCAGTGCTGCTTAGACGAGGGAGATGTGGCGGCAGTCTCTCATACAGTTCAATTGTCCCATTGATGCTGGGTGAAAACCAGCAAGAGCCAGCCAAAGTACAAGTCGTTTTGCTGAAAGTTTTTTGAAACATGACGGTTTTGGGTAAGTGTAGGGTGCATATTTCTGTAGGGGTGGGGACAGGGTAGGGAGTCTGGATTTGGCTAACCAGAAGGCTCAGTAAAGTGTAGGCCAGAAAAAAGTGACATTATACTGAATGTCCTTGTTAAAATTTGGGCTGATGGAAAGTGCTGGACTGAGAGCCTGGGAGAGTGAAATAGTCTGTTTATCTCCAGAACCAGAATGATAAGGGCACAACAATGCAAGCTGCTCTCCCCCCACTCTGCCAATGCGCTTATCTCCTGCATTGGAGGGACCATCACCAGTGATGAGAGGGCACTTGAAACTCCATCGCCCATTCAATCTTCACCTCTCTGTTGAAAGGGCCAACAAGTGACCATAAGTTCTGATTGTAGACATGGTTTCTTTGTGGTGTTGACATTCCCCTGGTAGGAACAAAACTCATTCCAAACCTGGGTCACTAAACAGCTGACAGATGGCAATGATGCTCAGTCACTAATGATCTAGGTTAGGATTGTATTTAATTTCTGGGTGTCTTGCCATCTATGCAAAAAGAGCAACGCCTGATTCTGCATCATGTTCAAGAGCATTGATTTGGGGTTTATTTTTAAGCAAATAACTGCATAAATGGCCCTTTCCTGAGTTTTGTGACCCATCAGACTCTGTGCAATGTAAATAGCAATAACAATGAGAGAAGGTGAAAGAATCAAATACAAGAATCAAGTTTTCAGCTGCAGATTTAAGGCTGGAAAATGCAACAAAAAGCTACATAATCCTTTGACTCCAACTCTCTTCATCCATTAGATTTGGGGAAATATGCAAATTGCTATTGATGACACAAAGTCGTGCTGCTGCAGTATATTTAAAGCCCATGGAGTGAAAGGACACTGTCAAAACAAGACCCAGGCTGTACACTGATACCGAGAGCTGGCAGGCAGTGTAAATGCATTGTTTATTTAGGTATTTAGGAATGTTTAAGATCTGAGTTATGGTCACCATGAAAGGGACCCATAAACCCCATCAGCTTCCATACCATAGTCTGTTTAAAGCTCAGGGTGAAGCACCTGTCAGCTCCGGGATTATTTCCCCTTACCTGTCGGTTCTGGTACGTGTCTTTCCCCATGAGGCAGTCCTCCTTGCTGACAAATGCCCCATCCCGCGTCTGGAGCTCTCGCCGGCAACAAGCTTCCGGTACCACATATTCTGAATGGAGGAGTCGAAAATGAGGAGCTGTTTCAAAATCTTCTGGCCCATTCACTCCACAGCAGCCAAACTAGGGAGGGACACAGGAAGGACAGAAATCCATAGGTTCCATATTGTCACTTCTGAAAGGAACCACCACAAATCCTTTCCAAGTCATGATTTTGTGGGGTGTGAAGGGTCGGTGTTCAGTGAAGGGAGAGTGAGGGCAATGTGGCTGCATTTGTGTTTTTATCCTGGCACCTCTTTCATCCGTTGATCTCAAACCACTTTATAAAGTATCATTATCCCGAGATGGGGACACAGACACAGAGATTAAGGGCCTGATCCAAAGCCCGCTGGAAGTCTTGCTGTTGACTTCAATGGGCTCTGCATCATAGCCAAAGCTACATGCTCAAGATCACAGAGTGAATCAGTAGCAGAGCACAGAATACAATCCAGGCTCCTTATTTCCCAGTCCTCCCTGTGGCTGATATCCAAGATGCTGCTGCTTCCTCCCATGCCAGCTCTAATGCACTAGACGATTCACTGAAGGGCCACTGCAAGCACTCAAGTGATTTGCTGCATCTACCACCTTTCAGGCTGCAAAAAGTTTAAACGTTTCATGCATAAAATGTAAACTTCTTCTTTAAATTCCTGAATCAGCATTAAGGGCAGCTCTCTTCTTTCATTTTAAAACTGAATTGAAAGCTGTGGAGACTGATGTCATGTATTTATCTGCCGAATAGGCACAGAATGGGTTGTACTAATGCAAACTTTCCACAAACACAGCCCTTACTTCCTGCAACTGGAGAAGAGAGTGGCGGACAACTTCTAGTAAAGGAGAGGGGAATTCAGACTTTACAGCAATCCTTGACTTCCCCGCTTACCGTCCCAATTAAGATGGCCAGTACTTCCATACTAGTAATTAGACTATAAGCCACCTGAAGAAGAGCTCTGTGCAGCTCAAAAGCTTCTCTCTCAAACCCATAGAAATTGGTCCAATAAAAGATATTACCTCATCCATCTGGTCTCTCTAATATCCTGGGACCAATATGGCTACAACAACACTGCAAACTATCAGCCACCAACTCATTTCACCGGGGCCATTGAAAAACCATGAGATAGTAACAACTTTTGGCCCTAGCTGACCTAACCTGGATTTGAAGCAGAATCCTAGAGGTGAAAGGGTCTGCAGTGATGGCCCATCCCCAGCACCATCCAGCTAGCTGACTGTCTCCAGTACTGCACTCTCCCTCTTCTGCGGGCAGCTCAAATACTACATCACTTTTACAAGGGGTTGTTGCTGGTAGAATTTTAATCTAACTCCTAATTGATAAATACAGTCCAGATTGGTTTGTATGCAGCAATGTATGCTTCACAGCAGACAAGCTTAGGCTACAGCACGGGGGCAATGCTTCCCTTTATATTAGTGACAGAGCTAGCTGCCACCAGGAGATTCAGGAGCAAATCAGCTTACTGTGATCATAACCGAGTTCCAGGTGGAAGAGAAGACATCCGTCTCATTGTTCCCCTGATAGTGCTTCTTTAGCTCCTTGGTGAAGTATTCTCTGGTCAGCTGAAATACACAGAACACAAATTACTGCCAGCACCTCAATTCAAAGTACTCTGGTGATGCTATTATTCATTACAAATCTAAGTGTAGATACGAGATCCTGTGCAGTTAGCACCTGACAGAGTAAACTAAAATTATTTTATAAGTCAGGGACTCCCTGCTTTGGTGCATGGACATCAGCTTGGCATCCTTTGACAGTGAACAATGCATCTGCTGCCCAATTAGAAACTAAGGGCCCAATGTGAGGTGGTGGTGCTTAACACCTCCATAAAGGTGCTGAACACCTGCAACTCCCATTGGCTTCAGTGGAAGTTAACAATGCTCACCAGCTTTCAGCAGGCTCTTGCAGGATCAAGCTGTAACAGATCTGCCCCTCAGTTCAAACCACAACTACAGGCAAGTATGAAGATGAAGCCTGCAAGGGATTAAGAGCCTAATGCAGTGGTGGGCAATCTGTGGCCCGTCAGGGTAATCTGCTGGTGGGCCGCGAGACAGTGTTTACATTGACCGTCCACAGGCACGGCTGCCCGCAGCTCCCAGTGGTCACGGTTTGCCGTTCCCGGCCATTGGGAGCTGCGGGAAGTGGCAGCCAGCATGTCCCTGCAGCCCACGCTGCTTCCCGCAGCTCCTATTGGCCGGGAACGGTGATGTGGATGGTCAATGTAAACACTGTCTCATGGGCCACCAGCAGATTACCCTGATGGGCCGCGTGAGGCCTGCGGGCCGCAAGTTGCCCACCACTGGCCTAATGCAATGCCCCATGAAGTAATCTGGTTTCTTTACATTGACCTGCGTGGTGGCTGGATCAGGCCTGAAAAGAGTTCATGCTTTGTGTGGAAAGCCCATTACGCATGCAGGGTTTAGATGACACTATGTGCATGTTGTGTGCAAGGGCTGGACAGTTGTGCATGTGGAAGGGTCTTTATGCCTGACGATACTGATTGGCATGTGAGTATTTTGCACCCAATGCTCCCTTTGTTGTGCATTCTTCTGCATCTTCAGTTTTACAGTCAGTGGTCATGCTTTTATAAAATGTAGGGGAAACACTGACATCTATAAAATGCTGGCTGCACCTTAGCATTATCCATGGTGAATGGCACTTGTTCGCTAAAACCAGCTGGACTTGTTTAAAATTAAAAGTTAAAAATTGATTTCTACATATATTTTTAAGTTAACATTCTCTTTTAATTTTTTTATATATGGAGCTATTTAAAAGTGCTTCATATAACAAAGAGACACTAAAGACACTAAAGACAGATCTGAAAAGCCACATAAACACAGCAGTTAAATCTACCAGACCTTGGAAAATTCATATCTGAAAGGCATGATTCTCCTCTCATTTACACTAGTATAACTCTCCATTTTTCTTCAGTGGAATTACTCCAGATTTTTCCAGTGTGAGTAAGATCAGAATGACACCCTAATATTGTACCTTCTGTGAACAAAGATGGATATAAATCCGGGTAATAAAACGCAAAGGGTCACTGTCAACTTTAACAGTAGATATTAGAAAACGCATTTCTTTGTCTACTGTACTAACAATGATCCAGAAAGAAAGAATTTTAAAAATCCACTTTGCATTTCCACCATTTATGTTTATTTTTTACATTTCCTTCAGCTTGGGCAATGAAAATTAGTAAAATCAGGTTTATTTTTGTTTATCGTAAAACAGAAAAATTATAATAATAATTTCCCTCAAAGTATCTGTAAAACAAACAACAACAACAGAGACCTTGAAACAATCAAATCCTATGTTTAGTTATCACCTTTTTTCTGAGGAACAGTAAAAATAAAGTTTTAAAAGTCTGGTTAAACTGAAAACTCTGAGGCATTTTATAATCCTGCTGTCATTTCATAATAAAAATTTTAAGGGATCCTTTTTGCACCATTAAGTCTTGTCTTCGCTCTCTCTCTCTCTAAAACCTCAATTCTGCATTGTGATCCACACAGGCAAGACCTGTCTGTCAGCCCAGAGCTCCACTGATGTCAACAGGGCTCACATAAGTACAGCTGTCTGACCCCGCCTCATATACTACAGGATCAGGGCCCAAGACTGTAAGCCCTTTGGGAAAGGGACCACTTTGTTTTGTGCACTATTCAGTGTCAAAATGCACTGTGGACGTGAAACAAGCAATTGTAAATATAATAAATAAAAATAGCACAAGTCAGTTTGCTTTCAGGTTCTACGTGATGCAGTGTGGAAGTTCCAAACATTGTAGGGGTGTGTGCATTTCTTTAAAAAAAAATCAATGGTTTCACTGGAACTTTATGACAAAACTTAATGGAAACTTTAAGTGAAATTCTGACCCCACTGAAGTCAGTGGGAATTTTTCTATTGTCTTCAGTGTGGCCAAAGTTTCACCCTTTTATTTTTGTTCCCTGACAGGTTTTGTACAGGCCAGTTTTAAAAATCTAAATGATGAACTAAAATATAACTTGACTCTGAGTACCATTTTCTAAAATTTAAGAGTCCCATTGACTTTCTGTGACCTGTAGGCTCCACAAGATGGGATTCCAAGGGGGACTTTGCTGCCTAACTGCCACTTTAGGCACCAAAGTCCAACACTGAGATGCCACGGGCATTCACAAAACCCCTGCTCCGCTGCTGCATAACTCTATAGGCATCTAAAATTCTGCCATTAAAATTCCAAGGTGCCTAAATTTTGGCAGCTGGGCGTGTGCCCAGTCAGTCAGTCCTGACACCGCCCAGCACCTTGGAGCCTAACTTATGCCTAAACTCCAGCGCGATTCACCAACTAGGTGTCCCCCGCCTGTCTCGCCTGTAGGGCCCGATCTGGTAGGCATGCTGTCAGCACAGCTAAACCCTCACCAAATAACCAGGAGGAGGAGGAAGTGGTGGTATCACCCTCCACAATACACTTTAGCCTTGTGGTTAGAGCATGCATCCAGGATGTGGAAAGCTCAGGTTCAACTCCCCATTCCCTCTGCTTGATGTGGAGCAGGGATTTAAACTTGGGTCTCCCTCATTCCTAGGAGTGCCCCCCTAACCACTGGGCTACCGGGTACTCTGGCACAGGTCTCAGTCTCTCCTGTTGAAGCTGTTCCTCTGTGGATAAACCAATATTCATTGGGCCAGATAAAAAATGATTCTGTAGCCTAGTTGTTAGGGCTTCATCTAAGAGGTGTGAGGACCAGCTTCCAGTTCCCGTCCCAATTACTGTGTAATTATTTGCATTACTTGAACAGCTTCAACAGGAAAAAATGAGAGAGGTCTCAACATTGCAGTATCTAAGTCCCTCTTGTGAATCTGACTCCTGGACTTAGGCTAAGACACTTATGTGCTTTTGAAAATCTGAGTGCCACCAATCACACAAGATATGGATTTTCCCTTGAGAAACCAGCACATTGGGAATGGCTGGGTTAGAAGGTGCAGAAACCATATGCTCAGCACTCTGCTTGCCTTCCCTTCTTTTGCATGATTTACCCACCCAGGCGCTTATCCTAGGGAGACAGCAACACCAGCTTTTTATTGGGGCTTGTCTGTTTCTTAAGTGCAGACTTTGAAACTAATATTACAGTTGGTAATAATCCCAACGGGCTGCCTTTGGCTGGGTCTGAAATGAAAGAGTCATTTGAATATAAAGTGAAACCTTTAGTTTGACAGGAGTGATCCCAGAGGAAATTGTTCAGAGTTTGTGTGTGATTTTTATGAGGCTTGGCCTAAAACAAAGCCCAAGGCTAGACTGGGGGCATGTTTTCCAGAAAAATAAGCAATTCCCCTTTGTGGCTGTTAAACTGTAGTTTGTCTCAAATGTCCGAAGTTCAGATAAATGTTAAAGATGGGGCTGCATGAGTGACTTTCTTCTTTAAATAAATACATAAAAACATAATAAACAGAATAAAAGTCAACAAGATATTCCCAACCCCATATTCATTTTCCCCTTTGTCTGAGGCTAATAAAGGAGCCAATGAGGTTTCTGTACCTCGGTGTATGATACCATGAGCTATTCAGATGGAACAAAGGCCCTAACAACAAGATTTCTCTCTTACATAGTGCTTTTCTTCCATGGAGCTCAAGGTGCTTTGCACAGGAAGGTAAGCATCATTTTTCAATTTGAGGGAACTGAGGCACCAAGAGCTGAAGTGTCTTGCACAAGGTCAAACAGCAGTACAGTGGCAGGGAATAGAACCTAGGGATCCTGACTCCCAGCCGCGTGCCTTATCCACTAGCCCACACTGTCCCTACTGCATTGCCTTTTTGCCCAACGAGGGAATTTGTTGACTCTCTAATATGGGTGCTAATATATTATCGCTAAACACAAACGCACCTTGCAGAGAATGAAAGAAGCTCCATGTGGAGCTGTTACCCAAAACACACTAAACCCAGTCTTTAAAAAAAAAAAAAAATCAAGAATTCCATCAGTGTTCCTCCCACCAAGGCCTCAGAGGGGCAAAGAAGAAGCAGGTCCTATGCCCAAGACAAGTCACCTTTGGTTTGGGCTGTGTTTCTCTCTCAATTTATTGTTCATAGAAGGAACTGATCATCGTATGGAGTAATATAACCAGCACCCAGATGAAACAGAGTGCTGCATCTTCACAAACCTCCTTCCCCCACTACCCTCCGAGGAAACCGTGAGGCTACCTGGAACAGGTGAGGGAAACAAATCTCATGACTGATTGCCATGCATTTCAGCATCCACTTCAAAGCTCCCCTTCTTGTCTCTCAGACCATGTCTCTCTCTAGCCTCTCTCCTCCTCTAGCCCCAGTTCACTCTGTCCACTTCACACAGTTCTCAATGCGAGTGAGGTGAGAGCCTTCTCCTCTGCTACTCCTGCTATCTGGAACACCCCCTCCTCTCTCCCCACCTCACTGACTCTTCATCTCATTTCAAATCTCAGCAGAAAACAACTCTTTCCTCCCTCGTCTTTGAGTCTTCATTTCTTTTCCTCCCTCCGCTATTAATTATTTAACACTCTAACTGTATTATTTAACTCAGTAGAGCGTTCTGGGAGCTAGTTTGCAGGCAAGATGCGATACAAGA